GGAAAACTTTTTTAATTTTATTTTATTTATGTGTGTGTGTGTGTGTGTGGCCAGCTTAGCCCACGGGGGGGCGGTGCTGGCTGGCATGTGGTGCTGGGGGATTGAACCGCGGTCCCTGTGCTTTGCTAAGCTTGTTCTAAGTGGGTGCTTTAGACCACTGAGCCATCTCACCAGCCCAGTCTGGGAAACTTTGAAACTAGAACTTCAGCACATGGTACCTTGATTAAATCTTTTTTTTGTTTTCATTTCTTTCCATTGTCTTTTACTTATTAGTATATGTTTGCAGCACAAATATGTGTAGCGTGGAGTTGGCATATGCACATAGCACAGCGAATCCCTCGTTTCCTTCCCTTTCCCTCCCATGCCCCCTTCTCTCGATCCCAGTCCCACCTGAGGAAGATCTGTCTCCCTCCTTCCCATTGTCTTTTATTTTGCTCTTTATTTATAGTTTGGGCTTCTCATATAAAAGAAGCCATATGATATTAGCTTGTGAGACTAATTTATTTCACTTAACAGTGTGGTCTCAAGGTGGGCCCATTTTCCTACAGATGACTCAAGTTTAGCCTTATAGTTTTGTGTATAAACACTACATTTTCTTCATCTGTGGATGGACATACAAGCCACTCCCAAGATTAGCTGTCATGAATTATGCTATTCTAGTCAGGCATGGTGGTGGACACCTGTAATCTCAGCACTTGGGGGGCAGAGGCAGGAGGATGACCATGAGTTCAAGACCAGCCTGAAAAACATGGCAAAACCCTTTCTCAAAAAAATAATTGTGCTGTTATAAACATGGGTACATGGGAATGCCTGTGTTTCTGTAAGACGATGTCCTTAATTTTTTCAGGAAGACACCTAGGAGGGAATAGTTGGGTCAAATGGAATTTCTAGTTTTAGTTTTTAAAGATTTGCTGTATTGATTTCCATAGTGGTTGTTGTAGTTTACATTCTCACCAACAATCCAGAAGAGTTCATTTTCCCCCCGCAGTCTCACTAGCCTTGTTACGGTTTGATTGCTTGATGAGGGCCATTCTGTCTGGGATAAGATGGACTCTCAGTGTTGTTTTAATTTGCATTTCTGAAATGACCAGTGATGTTGAATATTTCATTGTGTACTTATTGGCCACTTGTACTTTTTCTGTGGAATGTCTATTGATTTTTCTTACCCATTTTTTGATCGCAACTTTTATTTGGAGGAGGGGTCTATTTTTTGAGTTCTTTATGTATTCTAGATAGGAGTTGTTTTCCTGAAAAATTGCTGGCAAAATGTTGTCTCCATTCTGTAGGTTCTGTTTACTGTTGGTTGTTTGCTTTGGTTTGTGTAAACTCTTTTAGTTTCATATAAACTTGTTTGTTAATTCCTGGAATTGTTTCCCATGCAGCTTGGGTTCTGTTCAGCTAGTTCTTCAGGGCCAGCAAGATAGTTCAGTGGAATGAGCACCTGTTTAGGCAAGCCCAGGGACTGGGGTTCGATCCCTGGCTCTACATACCTTGCAGGCCCTGACCCCAGGAATGCTTCGCTGGCCACAGACCAGGTGTGGTGGCACATGCCTGCAATCCTGGCACTGGGGAAGCTGAAAACAGGAGGAGCCCTATAGTGTGATCTGTGTAGTGAGACCCTGTACCAAATACATTAAACAAAAAAAAAAAAAAAGAAGTCTTTCTACAAGGACTTCAAGAGTTTTACCTATCTTATCTTATAGGAGGTTAAGTATTTTTTGGTTTACCACTTAGTTCTTTGATCCATTTCGGTTTTAGTTTAGTACATAGTGAAAGAGATGGGTTTAGATTCTGTCTTTTGCATGTGGATAGCCAGTTTTCCCAATACCTTTTTTTTTTGTTGTTGTTGCTGAGAATTGAACTTAGGACCTGGCACTTGCCAGGCAGGCCCTGTGCCACTGAGCTATATCTTCTGCCCCCAGTGCCATTTATTATAGAGGCTGTCTCCTCTGCTGTGTGTTTTTGGCCCCTTTGTCAAAAATATAATGCAATAGTTGAATGTACTTAGACTTGTTCCTGCATCCTGTTTTCAGTGATCCTTATGTCTTTTTGTGCCAGCACCATTTTTTTTTTTCTTTGGTGGTACTGGGGATTGAACTCAGGACCTCAAGCTTTCCAGGTGGGCACTTAAGCCACTGAGCTATCTCCCTGTACCTTACCGTGCTGTTTTTATTATGGTAGCTTTGTATATTAACTTCAAATCTGGAACTGTGATGCCTCATTCTTTACTCTTGTTACCCAAGTGTACTTTTCCTATTCTGTGTCTCTTCTAGTTCCATGTAATTTTGGGATTATTTCCTTGAGTTCTTGAGGAATGCTGTTGGAATTTTGATTGAAGTTGCTTTGGATCTGTATCTGTTTTGGAAGTATGGCCATTTCGATAGTATGCTTGAGTTGTACCTATCCAGGGACATGGGATAGCTTTCCATTTTCTGACATTTCCTTCAATTTCCTTTTTCAGAGTAGTGTAGATATTTTTTTCTCTTTGGTACCAGGGATTGAACTCCAGACCTTGTGCTTTACCAGGCAAGCGCTTATGCCATTGAGCTCTATCACTGGCCCAAGTAGTGTAGTTTTTGTGGTGAAGTTCCTTCTCTTTGTTAGGTTAATTCTTAAGTATTTAATTGTTCCTGGTGCTGTTGTAATGAAATGTTTTCTTGATATCTTTGTCAGTGTGTTCACTATAGTATAAAGGAATGCTATTGATATGTGTGTGTTGATTTTGTATTCTGCTGTACTACTAAATGTTCCCACCACCTTTACTGTGATCCTTTCCCACTTATTCTGCAGTGCCAGTCTTTCTGCTTATCATCTTAGGAACAGGAAAGACCCACTTTGTTGAATGATTTTTCTAAAAATTCTGCAGAGGTAGTGTTAAAAGTTCGTCCAAGATTGAGCCTTTTATCAACAATATGTAAA